ACTATGTTTTTCCAGCGGGGATGGAAAGAAAATCACTTTATGGCTGAGTATGGCCAGCATTACTGGACTGTGTATGCTGAAATCAAGTTTCATTCCACTCTGTGTCTGATACTCTCTTTTGTTAGGAAACAATAGGGAACTCCCTTTTCTTCTCCTGCTATCAGATTCTTGATCAGATTCATTATTATGATAATTTGATCTAACAAAACACAGAAACTGCCACCAAAGTGATTTCAATGATGACATTTTAATAAGGTGGACACAGAATAGTCATTTGTCCACCCTGGAACACGTCTCTTGGGCCAGTTTTGAATTAGAGGATGTGGAGAAAGCCCATAAAAGATTATTATACTTGTACTGGTCAATGGCATATTACAAGTTCTACTGCAAAGTCTCCAGGTGGTGGAATGGCTGGTTGCACTAGTCAGACAAGAAAATACATAACTACTTAGTTCACTGTAAGAACCACGTTCAATGCTAATCCGATACGTAAGATGTCACATGAAGCATGGCCACATTCCCCAACGCCCCACCCATTGACATCCAGTACATGTGAATGTATTTATGATATACTGTGGTAGATGGACACAGTAAAGCACCCAGCAGTAAAAAGGTCATGTCACCACATGAAGATCCATACCACCATCCGAATCTGGGGCTAGAGGTAAGCAATTCAGGAACCTGTGCATTGCATCCGCAAAACTCAAATTGTGATTGCAATGCTCTGTAGGCCTGAATTAAAACATTTAATAAATGCACTTTTATTTTATCATTGTTGGTACATTTTTAGAAATTTTTCCGGTGTGCTATGCCTTAAACAGCAGCAGGGGGTCAACTATTCCTTTTTTGCCCTGAAACGTGTCATAGCTGATCTACAGTATGTCACCATTTCCATTTAGCTACACAGTCATACTGCTGTGGAACAGTGCAAACAACAGCAACCTAACTATGCCACTAACTGGCCACAGACATTGATAGATCACCAGTCAGCCTGGGAAACGAAGGGGCCCATTTTTAAAGTTGAAGTATAGTCTAGCATTACTATACTGCTGCCAAAGCAAAGCCCCTTGCATGTGCCCTGTAGACGCAAAGGGGCTGCTCAAAGGAATCACAGAGCACCGCAGGGGAAGCATGCGGAACTTCCGGAAAAGTGATGGATGGGACAATCCTTTAGGAAGCTTTGCTCAAGGGGGGAGTGAAGAGTTCATCAACAGGTTCCAGGACATGAAAGTATACTATGGGATCTTTTTGAAGAACCTTTCTATTTTATTTATCCTTTTTTCAGTGATAGAGTCAAGTAAATATATAATGAAAGAAATATGGGAGATGCCTTTGCTGAAAATGCTAGCTTCCCAGCTTTCATGCAACCAAAATGCTTCAATATATTCTAAATTACAAATTCAGATCAAGTATACAAATCAGAAAAGTCAAGTTTTTATCTCTATACGTACTCTGGCTCAGTAACTCAAAGCAATAGCACAAGATGGTCAGTATACAGTTGCAAGAAAAAGTATCTGAACCCCTTGGGATTATGTGGAGTTTTGCATGAATTGGGCATAAAATGTGCTCTGAACGTCATCTAAGTCACAACAATAGAAGAACACAGTCTGCTGAACATAATACTACACAAACATTAGATTTTGCCATGATTTAATTGCACATAACATGTAAACATTCACAGTGCAGGGAGGAAAAAATATGTGAGGCCCTAGCTTAATGACTTCTCCCAGAGCTAATTGGAGCCAGGAGTGAGCCAACCTTGACTCCAATCAGTGTGATGATATTGGATGTGTTGCTGACAGCTGTCCTGCCCTTAAAAAACACAGACCTGTTTTGGGTTTACTGGTTTCAAGAAGCACTGTCTGATGTGAACCATGCCTCGCAGAAAAGAGCTCTCAGAAGACCTACGATCAAGAATTGTTGACTTGCATGAAGCTGGAAAGGGTTACAAAAGTATCTCCAAAAGCCTTGATGTTCATGTGTCCACGGTAAGACAGACTGTCTACAAATGGAGAAAGTTTAGCACTGTTGCTACTCTCCCTAGGCGTTGTCATCCTGTAAAAATGACTGCAAGAGCACAGCGCAGAATGCTGCATGAGGTAAAGAAGAATCCCAGAGTGTCAGCTAAAGACCTACAGAAATCTCTGGCACATGCTAACATTTTTGTTGACACATCTACAATAAGGAGAACATTAAACAAGAATGGAGTACATGGGAGGACACCACGGAGGAAGCCATTGCTGTCCAAAAAGAATATTGCAGCACGTTTGAAGTTTGCAAAAGAGCACCTGGATGTTCCACAGCACTACTGGCAAAATATACTGTGGACAGATGAAACCAAGATTGAGTTGTTTGGGAAGAACACACAACACTATGTGTGGAGAATAAAGGCACAGCACACCAACATCAAAACCTCATCCCCACTGTAAAACATGGCGGAGGGAGCATCATGGTTTGGGGCTGCTTTGCTGCCTCAGGGCCTGGATGGATTGTTGTCATTGATGGGAAAATGAATTCCAGAGTTTATCAAGACATTTTGCAGGAAAACGTACGACCATCTGTCCGCCAACTGAAGCTCCGCAGAGGATGGGTGATGCAACAGGACAATGACCCAAAGCATACAAGTAATTCAACAAAACAATGGCTGCAACAGCACAGAATACGCCTTCTGGAGTGGCCCAGTCAGAGTCCTGACCTCAACCCGATTGAAATGCTGTGGCATGACCTTAAGAGAGCGATTCACACAAGACATCCAAAGAATATTGCTACACTGAAACAGTTTTTGTGAGGAGGAGTGGTCCAAAATTACTCCAGATCGTTGTGCAGGTCTGATCTGCAACTACAGGAAACGTTTGGTTGAGGTTATTGCTGCCAAAGGAGGGTCAACCAGTTATTAAGTCCAAAGGTTCACATACTTTTTCCTCCCTGCACTGTGAATGTTTACATGTTATGTGCAATTAAACCATGGCAGCATCTAATGTTTGTGTAGTATTATGTTCAGCAGACTGTGTTCTTCTATTGTTGTGACTTAGATGATGTTCAGAGCACATTTTATGCCCAATTCATGCAAAACTCCACGTAATCCCAAGGGGTTCACATACTTTTTCTTGCAACTGTAAAAGCCAGACATCTAGCACTTCCAGAAGCAGAGGTCAGCAATGGTAGCCTCCGACCAGGTTCACATATGTGCATGGCTGGTTTCAGTGCGATTTTTCAAAGGAGTCCGGTGCAGATTATTTCAGCAATTCAGGTGCTAATTGCTAAAGTGTATGACATTTGAAATCGGACCTGAACCGGACTAAAAATCATACCGCACTCTTTTTAAAAACACATTGTGGCCAACCTGCATATATGTGAACCGCGTCCATATAAAGCTGGTTTGCTTCACATGTCATGCGAACTGAATGAGGTTCAATATACATCCAATTAAAATATTTGTGAATCGGGGCCCTTGTTTCTCTCATGGCAGGTATTCTAAGGGCCAGTTCACACCATGCCTGTATCTGAAGCGCACAGGAATGCACAGAACGTTCCTGCAATTCAGATGCGGGCATGATGTGAACCGGCTGTCAAGCAAATATATTTTAACTACTCTGCAACCGGCTTTTAACGATACAAATGGGGGACTTCCTGTTCCACCTGGACGTTTTAAATTGTCCTCCATTAAAGTACACAGTGCCTGTGATTGCGTTGTCATGTCTAACAGCACTTAAAACTGAAAAAAATAGCCTGAAAGGGAAAGGGGTTAAAATACAGACATCATCAATAACAAACTAAATAACAAACTATATTGCCAGCAGTACTGAGACGCCTACCTTTACACGCACATGAACTTTAATGGCATCCCAGTCTTAGTCCGTAGGGTTCAATATTGGGTTGGCCCGCCCTTTGCAGCTATAACAGCTTTAACTCTTCTGGGAAGGCCGTCCACAAGGTTTAGGAGTGTGTCTATGGGAAGGTTTGACCATTCTTCCAGAAGAGCATTTGTGAGGTCAGGCACTGAAGTCGGACAAGAAGGCCTGGCTCACAGTCTCCGCTCTGATTCATCCCAAAGGTGTTCTATCAGGTTGAGGTCAGGACTCTGTGCAGGCCAGTCAAGTTCCTCCACCCAAAACTCGCTCATTTATGTCTTTATGGACCTTGCTTTGTGCACTGGTGCGCAGTCATGTTGGAACAGGAAGGGGCCATCCCCAAACTGTTCCTACAAAGTTGGGAGCATGATATTGTCCAAAATGTCTTGGTATGCTGACACCTTAAGAGTTCCCTTCACTGGAACTAGGGGGCCAAGCCCAACCTCTGAAAAACAACCCCACACCATAATCCTCCCTCCACCAACTTTACACTTGGCACAATGCAGTCAGGCAAGTACCCGCTCTCCTGGCAACCGCAAAACTCAGACACGTCCATCGGATTACCAGACAGAGAAGCATGATTGGTCACTCCAAGAACACGTCTCCACTGCTCTAGAGTCCAGTGGCGGCATGCTTTACACCACTGTACTGTTATTGTGCTAATATGAAGGCCACACGAAGTTTGGAGGTCTTTAGCTATTGACTCTGCAGACAGTTGGTGACTTCTGCGCACTGTGCACTTCAGCATGCGCTGACCTCGCTCTGTCATTTTACATGGACTACCACTTTGTGGCTGAGTTGCTGTTGTCCCAGTTGCTTCCACTTTATTATAATCCCACTAACAGTTGAGCATGGAATATTTAGTAGCAAGGAAATGTCACGGATGGACTTATTGCACAGGTGGCAACCTATCACGGTACCACACTTGAATTCACTGAGCTCCTGAGAGCGACCCATTCTTTCACAAATGATTGTAGAAGCAGTCTGCATGCCTAGGTGCTTGATTTTATACACCTGTGGCCATGGAGGTGATTGGAACACCCAAATCAAATGATTGGAAGGCTGGCCCAGTACTTTTGGCAATATAGTGTATACAGTATGAGTTATAACACTGTATGACGATGCACATTACACAAAGATGATCCGTACCTCACTGGGTTAGCATTCACCAGCTCTGACCTGGTAGTGTTGGTCACGGCTGCTTTTGTAGTGGTGGTAAGTTGACTCACATTGATGGGGGCGGGAGTGACGGCATTCTTGGCGATACATCGGTTATATATTGTCTGCAAAAAGATTTTAAAGGAATACATTATTAGCTGCTAAAGTTGAAAAATCAAGTGAATTCCACTAGTGAATGTATCTATGGTGTGTATAATAGATATATAAGATAGATAGAGCAATGATATAGGTGAAGTGCACAACAGTGATCAATCACACTGCATAGCAATCAGGCCCTCCCAAAGGCCATATATATATATATATATATATATATATATATATATATATATATATAAAAAGGAAAATGGATTGCTGCACAAAAAAGAACTTTAAATGTAGAAAAATCCTCATCTAAAAGTGTGATCGAAAATGGATAAAGCCATACATAATTGTGTTCAACAGTTTCGGGCTATAATGTTAACTCCCTTCTTAAGATCAGAACACATATTAAAGTGAGAAATACCACTGTGCTCAATTTATACAAACATCATAATTGGAATCAATCATATAATTTAGCACAAATTGAATACAAATCAGATAAGCATCTTCTAATAAATAAATAAATTCTGTCAAGAAACCTTTGATATGGGGACATTTCTTCTTGGCAGAATTTTCACTCTCAAATAGCCACATTTATTAGAAGATGCTTATCTGATTTGTATTCAATTTGAGCTTAAAGCGGAGTTCCAGCTGAAAAAAAAAATTAAAAGTTAGCAGCTACAAAATCTGTAGCTGCTGACTTTTAAAATACAGAAACTTACCTGTCCCTCGGTGTCCTCACCACCACTGGTTTCACGGGCCGTCTTCTCTCCTTGGCACCGGCATCTTCAGCATGGGCACCCAGCTGTGGCAGCTTGCGGCTTCACAACCGGGTACCCACTGCGCATGCGCGAGAACCACTGTACTTTGTGAATGGTCCTGTAGTCTTCTGGGGCTCATGTGTCCCAGAAGACTACGGGGAGGGAGGGGGGAGGACAACTTTTGCTTCTGATCGCCTAGATGATCGCAACGGAAGTGGGAGCGGGTACCTGTCAAATTCGGGTACCCGCTTACCCCCTGAAGGTGCCAATCTTTAGTGGGGAGCGGGGGACAAAGCATTAAAGCGGAACTTCCTCTTTTGGGTGCAACTCCGCTTTAATTATATGATTGATTCCAATTAGGTTTGTATATCTTGATCATAGTGGAATTTCTCACTTTAATATGTGTTTTGATCTGAAGAAGGGTGTTAGCATAATAGCCCGAAACTGTTTGTTGAACACTATTATGTATGCCTTTGTCCATTTTTTGATCACTCTTTTATATGGTGATTTTTCTACTTTAAAAGTTCTTTTTTTATATGTGTATATATAAATCTATTTTCCTTATATATATATATATATATACACACACACATACATACATGCACACACATATATATATACACATACATATACACACACACATATATATATATGTGCGTGTAACATTGTAATGTAATTTGACATTGCCTGTGTCATATATCTATATGTATATTTTATTTAGACACTGGCAGCACAGTGGCTAAATGGTTAGCACTTCTGCCTGGCAGTACTAGGGTCATTGGTTCGAATCCCAACCATGACACCACCTGCCTGGAGTTTGCATGTTCTCCCTGTGCCTGCATGGGTTTCCTCCGGTTTCCTCCCACACTCCGAAGAGATGCTGGTAGGTTAATTGGCTCCTGTCTAAATTGTCCCTAGTATGTGTATGTATGAATGTAAGTTAGGGACTTTAGATTGTACGCCCCTTGAAGGTTAGGGACTGATGTGAATATATAATATATATGTAAAGTGCTGCGTAAATTGACGATGCTATATAAGTACTTGTAATATAAATAATAAAATAAATTTATGAATGCAAATTCTCCTTTTGGGGCTTGTTTATATAGTAAGACAGTCAACAGCAACTCTTAATATTGCTGAAACATGATCCGCAGCAGCAGGACAATTCATGGCAATGTTATATGGATTCCAATTGCGAGATCTGGGTAGTTGAGCTCCCAGCTCTACATACCTGGGATCTCTCCAAGAGATCACATTCTTGCTGATATATCCACTATTACATATCAAAGAGAAATGGAGGAATACCGATTCACAATGGTGAGGTAGGAAGAGAATGGGTAGGCAGAGACTGGAACCCCGATGGAGAGGTCTCACTACCGAACTCTTCAGAATGATACAGACTTCAGTAGGTGATTTCATACAAGGATATTCAACCAAAACTAAAAATGTCACTTTTGGGAATTGTAGATCCTGAAATTTCAGGATACAGATGTGTGAACATACTCTACTGGCAAATGACAATCAGCACTGTCCATTAATAACTTTCTTTATTGCAGCTATTTAAAAATATTCCTGTTAAAAGCAGGAGAAAAAAAAAAAAAAAAAAAAAATCACATCCAATTTATAATCCCAATAAAGGAGTGAACCTACTGAAACACTGCAATCTTGTTTTGTCCTTGTATATGTTTTTTATACCAAAATAAACTAAAAATTCTGTTTAGAAGACGGTTTATGGATGATTGATCACATCTAAAATGCCACTTTCTACAAGGAAGTGTTGGTGGGATCCTAAGCTGTAGCTCATCCAGACCTTTATAATCACAAATTCTATGTGCATCTTACCCTTTGCTTACATTGCACTCACCGTACTGACATCCAGAGGTATGATAAAGACCATTATAAAGCACAGCCACCAGGCGAGTAGTGTGCCCACCAAGACGAGTTTGTGCTGCTTCTTGAAGTCTCCATATCGGTGGAGGAGGAAGAGGGCAAGAAAAAATACAAATACAATCTCTATCCCGAGGGCAGCTCCACTCATTGTTACCGATCTTCTTTATCCTCTGGGGATACCCAAATACTGTGCTGGATCAATGCTGCAAGACATCAAGGTTACAGAGAAACTTTTTATGTCAGCTAAAATTGCAAAGGCAAAAGAGACCAGTGACGCACCAATTGGGCAGCTAACTGGCCACACTAGAGTTTAACAGGACATCTCTGGAAGGAGCGTAAAACGTCTTCCAACCATGAAAGGTCTTTTTTATACAGAAAAGGTGAAGAAACAGGGGTCCTCATCCATATTTCATCTCACTTAGACCTACCCCCATGGGGTTACTGGTATTCCTACTGTGTGTGAAATGGGCAAATTCTGAACCCTCAATGCCCAGAGATGCAAAGAGCAACAAAGCAGAGAGGAAGGCCAAATGAAACCTTAGAGACACATGTAGGACTTGAATATATTTATGGAAACATAAAAGCACTTAAAAGCAGAGAGGTCAATATAAAGTCAATATAAAGTAAATCAGCCGACTACATACACAGCGTGCTAAACAAGACATACAAAGAATGTCTCCGAAAAACACAAATGTCCATAGCGCATATCTCAGCACAGAAAACCTCCCATTGAGTCGTAAGACAAAACATCTCACTTTACCCCAACTGACTAATCAGCAAATTAGGGCACATTGAGGTCTACTTCCTCCATCAATGCTCATCACATAGGACACAGCAAATGGAAACCTGAGTCCCTGTTCCCACCCGCTGATGTCTTGCATGATAAGAGGTATCCCATTATTGTCTGTAGTAGAGGTCTTCAAACTTTCTAAACAAAGGGCCAGTTTACTGTCCTTCAGACTTTAGGAGGGCCACAATGGCCATTGGGAGTAGAAAAGGTACTGATGTAAGTGAGAGGAATGGCGCCCCATCAGTAGTGTCATTGGGAGGACTTCTGTCCCACTATTGGTGTCATTGGGCCTCATTGTTGGTGTCATTGGGAGGAATTGTGCCCCTTTTTTGGTGTCAGTGGGAGGAAATATGCCCCCTTGTTGGTATCAGTGGATGAATTAGTGCCCCAAGGGCTAGATAAAAGCAAGCAAAGGGCCACATCCGGCCCTCAGGCTGCAGTTTGGAGACCATTGGTCTATAGGGCACTCTCACACCTATGCAACGCTCTTCTGTGTGCCTTGGGAAAGGTGTACATGTGAAATTTAATGGCTCCATAGGCTTCAATAGGAGTCCTTGAGAAATGCATGAGAGGAAAACAAAGCACGTTAAAAAGCACAAGAAAGTACAAGGGTGAACCTAGCCTGAAAAATAATGTGCAACAGTCCTAAACTATAAGTAAAAATGCAAGCCACCAATTGCTCTCATTAGTGCTCAATAAATCTGTATTATTTCAATTAAACCATAAAGGGTTGGTTCACCTTTACAGACAAAAAAAGTAAAAGGTGAACTAGCACCCTCCCAGCCCCCCTTGTCCTCGCTGTACGTCTGGATCCAGAGCGGTCAGGACTCCCACAGCTGATCCAGTGGTCCAGAAGTGTGGAATCCCCACTCTTTTCCTTCTTCTCTGCGCAGTGCTTCCATGATGGCACGCTGTGTCCAGGGCCGATCACTCACATGTGATCGCTGCATGAGCGATTACATGGAAGTGGATGCGATTAGCTGTGAGAACCGGCAGCCTCCCAATGCCTACTCGCAGCTAATCGTGGGAACGCCCGTTGGGGTTCTCGCATCTAATCGCAGGCAGTATATGCCTATATAGGTGTGACTGCACCCAAAATGAAAGGTGAACTAACACTTTAAACTCCATCATCTGAGGAAAAAAAGCTAAATCTGAAGTGCAAGTTCCACTCTGGTCCCGATCATGTGACCGGACCAGAGCGACTTCAGGAGAGGTAAGTATATACGGTAGATCTTTCCTCTACAGGGTAGATCAGATAGGCTTAGAATGGGGGTGGGAGTAGGTTTAGCGTTAGTTAGATTTTACTGAACTTCCACTTTGAATCATTATTATGGCAAAATGTCCCGGCATGTCTACTTGTGGATGACTTCTTAAAAAAGTACATCCCGCTTTAACTTCCAGAAAAGTGAATGTGTGGGGGTGCTGAGTCTATGCAATCAGACTATGTAGCAACAGTACTGAAAAATATGAGCAAAGTATGAAGTCATGTACATGGCCGTACCCAGGGGCGGACTGACCATTTGGAAACTTGGGCACTGCCCAAGGGCCCGGGGTCAGTAGGAGGCCCCATGAGATGCCCCTGGTACCTTTTTCATAGGCTTTTTTGAGTTTGGGCATTGACACAGGGGCCCCATGATCCTCTGTTGCCCGGGGGCCCCATGAGTTGTCAGTCCGCCCCTGGCCGTACCTCTGCAACCGTGTTTGCAGTCAATAGCGGTCTAGACATACAGACAGAATACAATTCACAAATATAAGATGTACAAAAACATTTTAAAAAAGCACAGATCTGTTACATTGAATAGGGAAGTGAAAAAAGAAACTTGTAATTGTGAAATGTTAAACAAAATAGCTGAAGAAGCAAACCATTACTGCAAGGGCAAAGGAAGAGGAGCGAGTCCTCCCCTAAAGAGTATGCAAAGAAGAAAAAGAGGGAAATCTAGGGTGACCTATCGGTGAATATATAAATGAAACAGATCAAAAATACAGATTGATATATGTAAAAATACATCGCAAATTTTATTCAAACAAGTTATAATACAAAGATTATAATGTATGAGTTACACTTGTTAAAGGCGAAGAACTACACGTGTCGTCGCGGTAACAACCGCTTCTTCAGACTTTTACGCTCAAGTGTGCCAAATCTCTAAAAACAATGTGACGACTCTTAGGATATAATCAGCTCCATCCGAACCAAGGGGAGGTATATGACAGAGACCAAAGATGGAAAACCATAGACACCTTTATAACAATTTCAGAGCGCTGATGTGTCAATAGTACATATTTTGTAGCATGACTAAAACTAGGGATGCACCGAAATTTCGGCCACCGAAACAGCTGTCACTTTCCCGAAGCTAAAAGAAACAAAAGTTTATTTTTCGTTTCTTTCCCCGAGCTAAAAGAAACAAAGTTTCCTTTAGCTCTGGGGAAAGTGACAGCTCATAGTCATAGAGCTATAGTGAAGAAAAAAAAAACCCGGCAATAGCATTTAAAAAAACGGCACGACATAAAGGGGTTTTTTTTACTAAAGCTGGAGAGTGCAAAATCAGACTCACTACTGTACAGAAACCAATCAGCTTCTAACCTCAACTAGTTCAGTTAAGCTTTGGCAATAAAACCTGGAAGCTGATTGGTTTCTATGCAGAAATGAGCCTGATTTTGCACTCTCCAGCTTTAATAAATAAACCCCATAGTGACAGCCAGTGAGGGAGCCTCTCTGTATACACTGCTCCTCTCCTGCCCCCTCCTTGAACACATTGCCCCTCCACCCCCCACCCCCCCCTACAAAGATGACCTGTCACTCATATGCTATCACATAGGGGACTATTGGAGAACTTGAGGCAAAGACATCAGTTTGACATCATTTTAGAGTTAGGATGCTTCAGGTTGAGAAGGAGCCGGTAGGGGCAAGAAATCAGATAAGTGAATCAGCCTCTTCTGCAATCCCCTAGACAGGGCCGTGGATAAAGGGGTACCACCAGTCCTCCTGTATGGGGTCCGGGCCAGCAGGGGGGCCCAGAAAGCTGGGTGAATGGGATGTGAGCAGGGAGGGTGATCAGCACAGCATGGGGGAGGGAAATTACTGAAACCAATCCCTTGTATGGCTCTCTGCAGCAGCTGAAAGATGGCTTCTTCTTCTCTCCTTCCTGTTGGCTTTCAGCTGCTGCAGAGAGAGCCATACAGGGGATCAGTTCCAGTAATTGCCCCCCCCCCTCCACTGCACCCATCTCCCTCCCTGTGCACCATATGTTTCCCCCTGCTGCCCAAGACCCCCCTGTGTGCCCCCACCCCACAATGCTGCCAGCTTCCCTCCACTCCTTGCCTTCGGCAGCTGCAAGCACACAATAGGATTCTTTAGGATGGATAGTGGGGGAATATGTCACTGTATTTACCAGACCCTTCCTTTCGTGAACGAACACAATGAATGATTGGAACCAATCACTCACTGTGATCATTCATAACTGGAGCGAGCATAGTAAACTGTTATTATTTTGGGGGGGGGGGGGCCTTGTCAGGTTGGCTGTATGGGACCCCGTGGTTTCTAACAGCAGCCCTGCCCCTAGATATAACAAGCAAGCAACCTTTAAAGTTAGGGATTGGAGTCCAAAAAAAGCTGTGGATTTAATTTTTTTTTTCATTCCTGGATTTGGGCTTTAAGCTTTTTCCACCCATGTAATGCATATGTACATCAGCAAAGGGGGTGAGCTTTGACCTTTAAACTCCACACATTTCCATGAGGTTTCTGGACTGAGATCGTGCTCACTGCACAGTGACTGAGCTGTCAGACCACTCTTGATCTCTAGTAAAGATTGGGAGCCGGAGCGACTGGCTCCTGATTATGTGACAGCCAATTACAGCTCCATATGATTGAGCAGTTCTCTTCGCCCCCCCCCCCCCCAGGCATAACAACCCAGTTAAAGGGATGCCAGGGCTGGATGGGAAGGGGTTAAAGAGATTACTAATTATCAAGCTGCTGTTGCTACTAATCAAGAATCTTCTGGCAATGTTATATACCATCCCATCCCTTGTCATCATCACTTTTACAGGGACAGCCTGGCCTGCATGTAAGTGTGAAGAATAATATAAAAGCTCATGGAATAAAAAGAAAAAATGCAAACACTAAATAGTATTTTTTTACATGTATTATAGAATCCTGGGATACAATACTTTTACAATGGTTCTCCTTTAAATATAGTTACATAGTTAGTCTGGCTGAAAAAAGACAAAAGCCCATCCAGTTCAACCATTAACAAAAAAAAAAAAAAGTTATAATCCTATACCCACAGTTGATCCAGAGGAAGGCAAAAAAAACCAGCAAAGCATAATTCAATTTGCTCCTGCAGGGAAAAAATTCCTTCCTG